ACAAGCATTGATCACACACAATGAAATAAATTAATGTTGACAATGAAATAAATTAATGTTGACAGTAAAGTAAATTAATGTTGACAATGAAATAACTTAATGTTGACAATGAAATAAATTATTGTTGACAATGAAATAAATTAATGTTGACAGTGAAATAAATTAATGTTGACAATGAAATAAATTAATGTTGACAATGAAATAAATTAATGTTGACAATGAAATAAATTAATGTTGACAATAAATTAAATTAATGTTGACAATGAAATAAATTAATGTTGACAATGAAATAAATTAATGTTGACAATGAAATAAATTAATGTTGACAGTGAAATAAATTAATGTTGACAATGAAATAAATTATTGTTGACAATGAAATAAATTATTGTTAAATATGAAGCAAGCAAGTTTCACATTTGTTTTTATCGTTTCTTGTGGCTAACACAAAGACTGTTGTGTAACGCAGACTTAGTTTCAACGTTTAGTAATAGATCGGGAATTCCCCATGGAGATTTGTCTAGAGCAAGAGGGGGGGGGGGAATTAGGCCTACCTGTAACCTAAGATGGAGTGTGTACTAAAGGATTTAGATCTAGATGTGTTTAGTTTTGATTGGCTGGTCTCAACGTAGCTTTGTGTCTGCTTTAAATCGCTGCTGTTTACGCAATGTTTTGTGGCAATGGTGTGTGCAGTCTGAGGCTATATCATTCGGTTAAAAGAAGGTTATTTACATCTTTATATTGAGACGAATCGAAAGTGTTGTTTTATGTTGTCTGCAAAGTCAAGAAGGAAAAGGTGAGGATTGTTTTAATAGATCTAAATAAGCTTTAGATTTTTTGTATGAATTTGGGAATGCTTGTATATCATGATCGCTTAAAGCTTAACAGAGTTTCTTCCAAGTATGACTTCGAAAAGGAATTTATATCGAAAACACATACTTTTAACAGTGCCCGCCACCCCCCCCCCCTGGAAAATTTAGTCCGCCCCCCCTACCCCCGAAAATTTCAAGTTCCCCCCCCCCCCCCCCCCCCGTTCCCCCGGCCCTGAAAAATCAGTCTGGAAGAAACACTGAAGCCCAAAATAGCAGCGCATCGACTTTTGTTTTGATATTACTATAGGCTGTTATGGTTAGCGAAAGAGCCGTAAATACTATCAGAGTTATTGTTTGGGTTAAAGCAGAGCTAGAGGTAAAGTATTATTATTAAGGAAGAAAAAACTTAACCCTTCATTTGACTTTGTGATCAAAGCTGAGATGTAGGGGCCCACTGTATTTTAATTAAGCTAAAATAATGCATTATTTTTAAAACTAGTGCTGATATATTTTTTCAGTGGTATCTTGTTGATTGACAGCATGATTACATGTAAATCTATGTAGACATTTATTGTGCATTAGCATCCAAAAATGTGTCTTAAACTGCTGCATTAAAAAATTGCATGTTGATATTGGCGTTATAAAAAGAAGAAAATCAGCTCCTAGTGTAGGTACCAAGATCAAGTCAACTTAAAGCTCTTGAAAAGACCTTCAGCTTCCAAACCTATACAAAGCTTGTGGCTTTATGTTTACAAGACAAGAGTTCTTTTGCTGGACTATGACGCTCAATGCTAAGAATAAACATAAATTATAACTCACTTTTTATTCTTTCTGAAATTGTTATTTAATTCAGTGTCTACGACTTGCTGTTTGGTTGACAAGATATTGTCCCCTAGGCTTTAGGACTAGAGTTATAGGACTAATTACCTCGACATAACGACTATTAATGTCTTAAACCACATAAACATCCATGTTAGTATATATCCGATGTTGCAGGTTTAACTTAAAAAGTTTTGTCATAATGAAATCTTCGCGACAGTTTGTTAGGGTGATTTTCCCAGCCATCTTTTAAAAATAATCACATGAAATGTTGTTTCTTGGGCAACAGCAAATGGATCTTTATTGCTTTGTTTTGATTTTCTTTTTAGCTACATAGTTTTTGTTACAAGTTTAATTTATTTCATGACTGTTAGTAAATGTGTTAATCCCCGTAAACGAACTAGTGTCTGAACTAGTGTCTCAATAATAGTTCTTGTTTTGATGCAAGCCTTAGCCCCAACGTCGAGAGCCTCAGAGGTCGTCGAATGACTGACATTAAGCATTGTTATAAAAAGACAATAACGTTTTTATATAACTGTGCACTATATATTGGTTAGGATGATTACTAAAGTGTTGGTTCAACTCAGTTAGGTTTTGGGTTCTGTATATTATTTTGCATCTATTTTCATAAATATTTTCTTCGTTTTTGAACAGCTAAGATAAAATCGGGGTTTCCCAGTGACCTAAATAGTGCACTCGATTGATCAAACTGTGCCGTGACGTAAACAATGTGTATAAGGGAGAAAACTGTGTGTAGCCTGTCGCTTGACCTTTTTTTTTTAACGTCGTCATGGTAATGATGGTTGCCGAAAAGGACGACACCGTGATTGCGTTTATTTAACGATGTTTCGTGGTCATTTCAGAAATATATACATTGTACTTAAAATCGTTTGCGTATTACGATACCGGTCTAGTTTTAACAATGGACGATAAGTATTTGATGCAAACTTGCCATTTGTACATTTTTTTTTTACTTTCTCGTATTTACGAAGTATAGAGAAAGTCTTGTAATCGTGCAAAAAAATCGATATTTTTGCAAATCTCGACGTTTTACACCTCACTGATACGGAAAAACATAATTTTGCATTCTTGTCCGTATTTCTGTGTGTCTGTAAACACGAGAACTTGAGTACCAATACAGCTAGGTTGATGAAATTTCATATATAAGTATTTTATAAAAATCGTAGATCCGTATAAACTTTTGAGCGATTTCCGATAACCGGAAGTGGGTTTTTTTTTACTTTGAATTTTTCAAAAGCCTATACCTTGAGTACTATTTCAAATGGTGACAGGACAAATGATCTCAGGACAAATGATCTCAGACAAAATATCTCAGACAAAATATCTCACGGACAAATGATCTCAGGACAAATGATCTCAGAACAAATCATTTGTCCTGATATATTTTGTCCTGGTATCTTTTGTCCGTGAGATCATTTGTCCTTGAGATCATTTGTCCTGAGATCATTTGTCCTGAGATCATTTGTCCGTGAGATATTTTGTCTGAGATATTTTGTCTGAGATCATTTGTCCTGAGATCATTTGTCATGGAACCATTTCAAATAGATAAACGAAATTTCACCTGTAAGTAGAAGATCTAATTCTCTACCTTCTATTAAATTTTGAGTAATGCCGTTGACCGGAATTACTAATTACGCTATTTGATTTCTCAAAAACGCATGTAAATTTATCCATCAATCCATCCTTCCATGCGTCCATCTATTCAATCAACCATTCATTTATCAATACCTTTCATTAAACTCTTGTAGGTATAATGAGTGCCGATAATAATTTTTGGCCGATTGTCATTCTCGTTTTTTGTTTTTTCATTTGATAGTGTTTACTGGAAGACGAACTTAACCGATTATATGTGCTGCACTACGCCACAAAGACCATTCTGTCACTATGTCTAACTCTACTCCACCCCTTTGTCACACACGAACTCCCGATTTTGACCAAAAACGTTTGTGTTTAACTCCGTCTAGTAGCTTGTGATCTCAAAAATTGAGTTGTCTGCCCCGTATAACCTTATTAATGACGAAATCAGTCGACTGTAAACTCCTCTTTATCTCCTCTTTATTATTGAATTTAGTAATTAATTTTTAAATAAAATTTAATAGTTAATTGTATATCTAGTTGAATTAAAAAATTTAGATTCATGAATTACATTCAAGATCTAATCAGAGTTTCTTCCAGGCATATTATCGGAGGGGGTTCCCTTTCGAAGGAAGGAAGTCTACCGCTTGCCCCCCCCCCCCCTCCCAAAACAAAATGGAATATATATATAGAAAATATAAATTTTTAACAGCGTCCGCTCTCTCCCCCCCCCCCCCCCCCCCGAAAATTTTAGTTTCCCCCACCCCTCAAAAAAAAAAAAGAAATTTCAAGACCCACCCCCTCGAAAAAACAACGTCGGTAAGAAACACTGGATCTACCACTGCCAAATTGCAGCTCCATCGGACAATGGGTGTGGGTTAAATTAAAATTCCAATATTTTCGGAGCAGCACAGACACTCACAAACACACAAACACACACACACAATACATACTTAGAAAGCAGCCAAATAAAAGCCAATAAAACGATAAGAGGAATCCCCACGGATGTTGAATTGATTTTTGTATTACCTGGTGGATGTGTGCTATATATAGAACCAGAGAAAAGTACGATTTATGTAACTCATTTTCGTTAACTGTCTGTCTGTCTGTCTGTCTGTCTGTCTGTCTGTCTGTCTGTCTGTCTGTCTGTCTGTCTGTCTGTCTGTCTGTCTGTCTGTCTGTCTGTCTGTCTGTCTGTCTGTCTGTCTGTCTGTCTGTCTGTCTGTCTGTCTGTCTGTCTGTCTGTCTGTCTGTCTGTCTGTCTGTCTGTCTGTCTGTCTGTCTGTCTGTCTGTCTGTCTGTCTGTCTGTCTGTCTGTCTGTCTGTCTGTCTGTCTGTCTGTCTGTCTGTCTGTCTGTCTGTCTGTCTGTCTGTCTGTCTGTCTGTCTGTCTGTCTGTCTGTCTGTCTGTCTGTCTGTCTGTCTGTCTGTCTGTCTGTCTGTCTGTCTGTCTGTCTGTCTGTCTGTCTGTCTGTCTGTCTGTCTGTCTGTCTATCTGTTTGTCTTTCTGTCTGTCTGTCTGTTTGTTTCCGCAATCGAACTTTTAGTTTGTCAACTACAAACTGTGTTTGAAATTACCAAGGTCTTTGAAAACATTATATCTAAGAGATTAAGAAAATAATTGAAATTAAATTAAATTTTAAATTAGGTTCTAGATCGATCAGTTTAACATTGAAAAACAAACTGAGAGATTGAAAAAATAGAGACAAACAGGAAAACAGAGAGACAGACAGAAAAACAGACAAAAAAACAAAGAGACACACATACAAGCAGACAAACATACAGAAAGAAAGAAAGATAGTTTGATAGATAAACAGACAGACACACGAACAGACAGACAAACACATGGAACGACGGACAGACTTACAGCTGAAGAAACCGACTGAAGCACTGACGGAAAGACAAAGAGTCAGAAAGACTAACCGCGTCCTAAAAAATAGCACTAGCGTAACTTAACACGCACGTCTAGTTGTGAGGATTACCTTGAAATATAGTTCTTAGTGTGGACACCTGTTGAACATTAGATCACACTGAAGGAGGTCGGTCGTGATTACAGTAAGGAAAACAGTTGACAAGATGAAATTATCTACAAGCTTTTTTCTGAGTTTGGTAGTCGCTTTTACCATCGGGTCTGAAGGTGAGAAATATATATATATATATATTTTTTTTACCTACTACTAACGTTAGAAAATAATATTGTGATGGTGTTTGTTTTGATGGGTTTTTTTCAAAATAGATTCTACCAATTTAAAATATTGACAATTGCTCCTCAAACAGTATCTGGGATGCAGTCGGATAAATGAAATGTTTTTATTAATTTTTTTTAATATTGTAATTCTTAAAATAGAATTAGCTTTCCCGGTCCGAATCAGCAGTGGCTTTTGTAAAAAAAAATCTGTAAAGAAACGTGAATTGTGTGTTTTTTAGCAGCATAAACCCGGCGCTTTCCGGGTTTTTGGTACTATATTAAATTTCTAATTAATATCTAAATGCAAATAACGACATTTTAGGAAACATATATGATCCTAAACCTAACTCTAAGACTACCTCTATCACAACCAACCACAACCACAAACATAAACAAACAGACATAGACATAAATATTTTCCACTCCTCACACTTCTACGCTTAAAAAACCACATACAGAAAAACATAACCTCAAACATAAACACATTAACATATACCATAATCCTCACTACAGACTCAAAACATAAATACAAACATACAAGAAACATAAACCTGAGTATAAGCATAACAATAAACATAAACTAACATATTCAAATACCTATACCTATAATCTATACGTAACCTATTTCTTCAACTACCCCCCCCCCCGATCCTCTATTGATGGGTGAGTAATTGATTGGAGGTGATGTCCTACTGCAACTCGGCGAGGATAAGTACAGGTGGGAAATTGATCTTAGGGAGTAATTAATTGGGTGGGGTGCAGGGTCGTTTCATGATCTTTGTACGGCCTAGGCACTTTTTGCATTCGTAGGCCTATCAGAAAATTGCGGCCGTGATACGTAAATCAGATTGTGTAATGTTTAAACCAATAAAAATGGTGATGGTTGTATTTAATTTAAGGGGGAAAAATCTCAATACTTTTTAAATTGAAAACGTCATTGTGTTTACTAATTTGTTTACTGATTTTGTAAGCCCTAAAATTTCGCCAACCACACTGAAAGTGTACTTAAGTTATCGTGTTCCTCACATAAATAGGGTAAAATGCCACTTGCGGTTATACGAAACCATTCAAACATTGATAGATACATGCACATACAATCGAATAATAATATATGTTAAGTTTGGTCCACTTAACGTAAATGGTAATCAAATTATGGGCCTTTTGAAAACCGAAAGTAGAGTAATGATCAATAGCGGTTTACCGAAAATCGCTCAAAAGATGAGAGAAAACAAAAAAGTTGATATAATGCTTGTTTATGAAATTTCGTTGACATAAATAAAACGGCACTTATCCTTTCTATAGACAAACACACACAGACACATGTTTGTATTAAAATTAGATTGTCCGTCTCCGAAATGTTATTAAACGTCAAAATTTGTCAAGATCTCGATTTAGATTTTTGCACAATTATTATACATCATTTGTATTCCATGTACACAAAAAAGTTAGAAGGTGTGAAACAAAAAATATTTCAAAATTTCATTTATTTTATATAAACTATTACAACACTTCCTTTATATTTTGTATGCCTCAGACATATAAGACGTGTTTACTTTAGTATTACAGTTATCATTATCGGCTTGTGAAGACTGGTACAAATTTACAATAGTAATACCTCACAATTTTTTTTTAACCTGAAAATGCAAATGTGTAATTAAATGGTGATTCAAGGGATTCTTTTCCAATGGCTAATGGGTTGAGGGGTTTGGGCTTTGGAGTAGAGCTGAAGTAAATTTGAGATTAAATAAAAATAATATTATAAATATTATAAGCAAGCGGAATGTTATGATGAGCACAATGAAACATATCAAATACACAATTATTCCATGTTAATAACATTTCCTCTATATTTGTATATGAAAAGTAAAACAAAACACTAACTGATGTTTATTCGACTAAAATTAAATAGAAACATTGTATTGTTCAGATTATATAAAATGCCTCTTCGTTTTTTTCACACCGTTTATTCTAAAAAGAAAATAAGTTTGTAGACGTTATTTCTAAACGTTCAAATTTTAAATCGCTTTGTAATTTTTGTTTGATGAATTCACAGGTGAGCTACTTAAACTCACGACATTCAAGGCAATAGAATGTTTGACAACCCTTTCCCTCACTACTGTTAAATCAATAAATTTTTTTAGCAACCCCTAATCTCATTACTTATAAAATAATTAGCCAGAGGCTTAGCGACCTACTCCGGCGCCCGGGGTTGACTATCAACTTTGCGCCCCCTCTCTCCCATTTTTATATATAGTTATTCCTGTCTGTGAAAAAGCGCCCCCCTCCCCCCCCCCCCTCCAGTTTGAAATGTTTGTAAAGCCTTGTAGTCGTTTATTTTCTTAACTTTAGATGTGTATGTTTCAATACTTCAGCTTAAAATAACTTTTAAATTATTTTTTACACTCCTTTGGCGCACCCTTTAGATCGTCGCCCGGGGCGCCTGCCCAACACTCCCTTAGCTACGCCACTGTTGTAATAATTCATTAGTCACTTACCTCACTGCTTATATGTCTATTATCTATATCTCACTATGTACTAGCTCGTTGGCTTACTACTACATTTCACTGAGTATTGTTATGTTATTGTTCTTAAATCATTTGTTTTAGCAAAACTTAAAATAAAGAGGGAACATTTGTTTATTTAAAATATTTTATGATGTGAAATTTCATAAAAGTAAAAGATCTCAGAAATGGAAGAAATTTTTTTTCATAAAGAAACGTTTTAATAACAAGATTTTATGAAATAATGCACTAAAAAGGAGAAAATAAATTATACACTACTATTTAAATAACTATAAAGAAAATCGTGGGTCACTTTAGTATCTATTGGATACCTTTACTAATATTTAGGAAGAGACCCACGCTTTTCTTTAAAATAAAACGTTTTTTTTTTTTAGGACTTTAGATGTTTTTATTTACAATAGAGTTACATGACTAAAAACCATTGCTCATCTATTGAACGTGATGACGCGTGTGGAGCAGTTGGATAAAACTGCCTACAAATTTGGTCAAAATTTTTATTTATTCATAAAAAAATTAATTAGGCATCTATTTAGTCAAATTTTATGTCATGTTGCATTGTCTTTATGTCTTTACCCACGTGCCAACTACGAACCGTATCTATCAGTAAGAATTGCCAGTAATTTCGCTCGGGCGTTTCGATCTAGACAGACTAACGGCTGACGACAGACAGAGGAAGCGAGTTAAATAAAAGCTTGTAAAAAGTAACCAATGCCAACGCCCTGCCAAATAAATAGACCTGTAACGTTGTCTCTCCTAGAAGAGTGGCTGACCCCAGCTAACAAGCCTCACCTTCACGACGGTTCGAACTCGAGATTTTTCGGTTTTGGAACCATGACCATGCAGACTCTTTTTTGTATGATACAGCAGTTTTTAGTGTGGCTGTTTATAGCGGTTAAAATAAATTGAAAGTGCTAACAATTGTTCGTGTTTTCATATAGCTTTATATGTATCCAACACTGATTCCTACCCGACCCTCAATACAATGATGTCAAATTTTTTTTTATCCTCGGCGGCCATCGACCCTGGGGCATTCAGGGCACGTAAGTGTATTCTTCTTTAATTAATAAACTTCACTTTTAAATTTGTGTTTCAAAGATTGATTTTAATAGTAAAAATGTTCTGTTTGTTTACAATTAGATGCCGTGTATACAGCGTATATAGAAAGTATTGTAATCGTGCAAAAAAATCACATGAAATGTTGACAGTTTTCACCGCTTTACACCTCAGTCCTTCATCACATCCGGAGTATAGAGGACTTATTTTAATCGGGCAAATCTTATAAGTCGAAATGTAACAAAATTTTGGCGTTTTATGCCTAATCCAGTCGGACAGTCGGAAAAAAAATGACTTTGCAATTCTGTCCGTATTTCTCTGTGTGTGTGTGTGTGTGTGTGTGTGTGTGTGTGTGTGTGTGTGTGTCTGTGTGTGTCTGTAAACACGATAACTTGAGTACCGATACAGCTAGATTGATACAAATGTCATTTATAAGTATTATATAATAATCGTAGATCCATATCAACTTTTGAGTGATTTCCGATAACCGGACGTGGAACTTTTTCTACTTTCAATTTTTCAAAAGCCTATAACTGGAGTAATATTTCAGAAAGATAAATTAAATTTCACACATAAGTGAAAGATCTAATTCTATGCCATCTGTCAAATTTTAAGTAATTTCCGTTGATCGGAAGTAGTAATTTTTACTATTTCCGATGTCTCAAAAACCTTATGTGATTTTATTAAGTACTAATAATATTCCGCACTATTATACACATTTTGTTTTGCGTTTACTTGGTGCGCTATTCTTTTTTCTACGAGATTCTATTCTATTTTTAAAATTTTAAGTCATTAAAAATTGATTAAAAATCATGTCTATATCCCCAGTTGCCATCCCCTGTTGGTGTTGTTTTATATAAGAATATTCGAGAAAGTTTAGGGGAGATCGCTCCCGGTTTATTAATTGACACTTCTAAGCCAAATAATGAAAAATTAAATTACGACTTTTTAAAAAGTATACGTTACTAAACTTTATAAAATTAACAACTTATTAAGCGGCCGCTAATGTTTGCTTAAAGAAAGTAAAATTAGATAGTCCCTTACTAGAAGTAAAGTAAAATTCCTCTTCCAAACCTGACGGTATTTGGGGCAGTGAAGTAGAGTTCACTTGTTTCTGTGATCTCGGCATATAAAGAGATGGTGTGGTTAGCACTATGCGCAGCCGCCTTTACTTTTCCAAGGTAATTATCAGAGCTGGGTGGCCAGACCACACCGTTCTACAATCTGCCATACTAACAGGAGCATAAATGTCTATCTGATTTGAATTACCAGTGGCTAACATATTCAATCAAATGTCCCTAGTTAGTGGCTAACAGATTCAATCATTTTTTGTTACTTACTCGTATATACGCGGTATAGAGAAAGTCTTGTAATCGTGCAAAAAAGATCGAGATTTTTACAAATCTCGACGTTTTACACCTCATTAATACGGAAAAACATAATTTTGCAGTCTTGTCCGTATGTCTGTGTGTGTGTCTGTCTGTCTGTCTGTCTGTAAACACGATAAATTGAGTACCGATACAGCTGGGTTGATGAAATTTCATATATAAGTATTTTATTAAAATCGTAGATCTGTATCAACTTTTGAGCAATTTCCGATACTTTTTCTATTTTGAATTTTTCAAAAGCCTATAACTTGAGTACTATTTCAAATAGATAAATAAAATTTCACATGTAAGTAAAAGATCTAATCCTCTACCTTCTGTAAAATTTTGAGTAATTTCCGTTGACCGGAAGTACTAATTTACGCTATTTCCGATTTCTCAAAAAGCGCATGTAAATTTATAAAGTACTAATAATATTGCGCACTATTATGCACATTTTGTTTTGGCGTTCGCTTGGTGCGCAATTCTTTTTTCTCCTAGATTTTTTTCTACTTTTAAAAGTTTAAGTAAATAAAAATCATGTCTATATTCCGAGTTGCCATCCCACGTAGTGTTATATTAGAATTTCCGAGAAAGTTTAGGGGAAATCACTCCCGGTTTATTTACCGTAACAGCTAGGTTGATTAAATTTCAAATATAAGTATTTTATTATTATCGTACATCAGTACCAACTTTTGAGCGATTTCCGATAACCGGAAGTGGTTCTTTTTTTACTTTGAAATTTTCAAAAGCCTATAACTTGAACGGAAGTAGTAATTTACGCTATTTCCAATTTCTCAAAAATCGCATGTAAATTTATGAAGTATTATTATGCACAAGTTATTTGGCGTTCACTGGTGTGCAATTATTTTTTCTTCGAGATTTTATTCTACTTTAAAAAGTTTAAGTATTTAAAATGGATTAAAATTCATGTCTATATCCCGAGTTCCCATTCCCTGCTTTTTATATAAAATTATTCGAGAAAGTTTAGGGGAGATTACTCCCGGTTTATTTTACTTTCAGCTGCAAACCAGCCCTAGCATCTTGTGGTGGTAAATACGGAACATGCTGCAAACCAAATCTAAGATGCATGTAAATTTTCTTTTTTGTTGCAATTTTTTTACTCAAAATACACAAAACACACACACACACACACACACACACACATATATATATATATATATATATATATATATATATATATATATATATATATATATATATATATATATATATATATATGTATATATTATATACATATATAATTTATTGTGTTTTTATTTTTATTTTAGAGCAAACTATTGTCAGCGTTGAATTTTAGAATGAATTGAAGCTTTGCCGTTCCGATAAAACAGTAATTAAGCGGCTTCATTTATTTTGTTCTTACATTCTAATTAAAACTAATTATAATACATCATAGTTTCTTTTGTTTTGTTTACAGTCCATCCATCCATTCGTCCATGCATCCATTCGTCCATCGATCCATCCTTTCATGCGTCCATCAATTCAATCATCCATTCATTCATCAATACCTTTCATTAAATTCTTGTAGCTATAATGAGTGCCGACAATAATTTTTGACCGATTGTCATTCTCGTTTTTTGTTTTTTTATTTGATATTGCTTACTGGAAGACGAACTTAACCGATTATATGTGCTGCACTACGCCACATAAACCACACGAACTCCCGATCAAAAACGTTTGTGTTTAACTCCGTCTAGAAGCTTGTTATCTCGAACATTGAGTTGCCTGCACCTAATAACCACATGTCTATCTGTCTTTCTGTCTTTCTGTCTTTCTGTCTTTCTGTCTTTCTGTCTTTCTGTCTTTCTGTCTTTCTGTCTTTCTGTCTTTCTGTCTTTCTGTCTTTCTGTCTTTCTGTCTTTCTGTCTTTCTGTCTTTCTGTCTGTCTGTCTGTCTGTCTGTCTGTCTGTCTGTCTGTCTGTCTGTCTGTCTGTCTGTCTGTCTGTCTGTCTGTCTGTCTGTCTGTCTGTCTGTCTGTCTGTCTGTCTGTCTGTCTGTCTGTCTGTCTTTCTGTCTGTCTGTCTGTCTGTCTGTCTGTCTGTCTGTCTGTCTGTCTGTCTGTCTTTCTGTCTGTCTGTCTGTCTGTCTGTCTGTCTGTCTGTCTGTCTGTCTGTCTGTCTGTCTGTCTGTCTGTCTGTCTGTCTGTCTGTCTGTCTGTCTGTCTGTCTGTCTGTCTGTCTGTCTGTCTGTCTGTCTGTCTGTCTGTCTGTCTGTCTGTCTGTCTGTCTGTCTGTCTGTCTGTCTGTCTGTCTGTCTGTCTGTCTGTCTGTCTGTCTGTCTGTCTGTCTGTCTGTCTGTCTGTCTGTCTGTCTGTCTGTCTGTCTGTCTGTCTGTCTGTCTGTCTGTCGGTCTGTCGGTCTGTCGGTCTGTCTGTCTGTCTGTCTGTCTGTCTGTCTGTCTGTCTGTCTGTCTGTCTGTCTGTCTGTCTGTCTGTCTGTCTGTCTGTCTGTCTGTCTGTCTGTCTGTCTGTCTGTCTTTTTTCACATTGGCCGTTTAAACAAATAAAACAATTCAATAACACATAGCGGTAACATAGCACTAAAAATGTGAAATAAAGAAGTAATGTTACATAGTTATAATACAAAATGAGATAAAAAAGAGAATATAATAGATGGATGAGAAATGTTACAATGAGTCAGTTAGAGAGGTCATTAAATAATTGTAGTTTTAGTTTAGATTTGAATATATTTTCAGATCTAGATAGCTTTATTTTATTAGGAAGATTGTTCCACAAATTAGAACCAGAGTAGGCGAAGCTATGTTTTTGGAAAAAAAGTTGTATATGGGAATGTCTGTCTGTCTGTCTGTTTGTCTACTGGTAAAGGGTGGGGACGCCTTTTACTTATCATTGTCCCTTTACAGCTTTTATTAAAATGTCAAAAGTTATATAGAAAATAGTTAAATCAGTCAGGAAAGCAAAGCAGTAGTGTATATTCTTAACTTTGATTAAAATTTAGTAATATAGCTCAGAATGAGATGCCCCACCCCTTTCTTCGGCCACCCCACCCACCCACCCTTCGCTACACTCTAAAATAAAGATATCATTGTAGTGTTTATATTTATAGTACTCACTTGTTACAATGAAAACAATGTAATTTGTTTAAATTTTCAGCAATATTGTAAAGAACTATACTTACCACTGCAGGCAAATGAGCATTAACAAAATCGACTATCTGACAACAAATGGAAACCGGAACTTTTATTCAGGAAGTCATAATGTCATTACTTATGAAAGGCAGAAAATTGTCATTGTTAACATGTTTAGTTGTATGTAAATAGATTAGTATGTACATTTGTAAAAATAAAAGTAAATGTGATAGACTGAGTTTTTTAAAAAAACGTTTTTTTTTACTTAAATGACATTTGTTTTAGGGATTAGGCTTCATTAGAACTTGACGATCCATGTGGTAAGTAAAGAAGAGTTCACCTGTTTTATGTAACCTCTGCATATGAGCTAGTGTGGTCAGCACTACTTAGCTGCCTTTACTTTCCCTAAGTGAGTCAAACGTGGGATGGGTGGACTAATAGATATGAACCCGAATTCGGGCTTGAGACTTTCGGGCTAGCAGTCGTATTCTCTACCATTCGACCACGCCTTCCCCATAAAATTATGGATCGTGTAAGAGTTATATTACGCTACACTAGAATCAAGACCAAATTAAATATACTCAAAGTTTTCACAAATATTCTTGTATATGTGATGTTTTATTAGATTAATAAAAAGATTTTTAAAAACCTCAAAGATATATGTTGGCTTTAACACATTTAATTAGTTATACTAAAAGTATATATATATATATATATATATATATATATATATATATATATATATATATATATATATATATATCAATGAAAGCTTCATATCGACCCATAAACAATACACAAAGAAGTGTTAAGCACGAGAAATCAAGTTAAACCGTACCTAGCGCCCCTGCACAATCGAACTTTTAGTTTGTCAACTACAAATTGTGTTTGAAATTACCAAGGTGAATGATTTCTAAATCCATTTTTAAACCAATTATATCCAAGAGATTAAGAATTGACATTAAATTTTAAATTAGGTTCTAGGTCGATAGGTTTAACATTGAAAAACAAACGGAGAGAAAGAAAAATAGAGAGCACTGACGGACAGACAGACAGTCAGAAAGACTAACTGACTGAATGCCTCACACACACACACACACACACACATACACACACTGACAGATTTTTAAAAAATTGAATGTCTTTAGAATTTTAATAACATTCAAAACATCCCCGATCCATGTAATCCGTGTCCTAAAAATAGCACTAGCCTTTCCAAACACGCACGTCCTGTTGTGAGGATTACCTTGAGATAGAGTACTGAAGGTCGACACCTGTTGAACATTAGATCACACTCAAGGAGGTCGGTCGAGATTACAGTAAGAACAACAGTTGAAAAAGATGAAATTATCTGCAAGCTTGTTTCTGATTTTGGTAGTCGCTTTTACCTTCGTGTCTGAAGGTGAGAAATATAATTTTTTTACCTACTACTAACGTTAGAAAATAACATTGTGATGTTTTTTGTTTTCTTTTTTTTTTGCAATAAATTCTACCAATTAAAAAAATTGAAAATAGTTACACACAAAAAAATGGGACGGAGTGGTTTAGCGGTGAAGAGCTGGACTACTAACCCGTAGGTCTCGAGTTCGAATCCGGGTTCAAGTCAGCAGACTGTCCCTGAGTCCACCCAACTCTGCTGGGTACCTAACTCACGTTAGGGAAAGTAAAGGCGGCTGGGCATAGTGCTGACCACACTATCTCTTCATATGCCGAGGTCACAGAAACAAGTAAACTCTACTTCACTTGCCTTATAGACCGTCAGGTCTCAAAGGGAAAGTTTACTTTACTTACATACAAAGAATAACATAATATAATAACTTGGCTGTAATCTCCCCAAACAGTATCGGGGATGCAGTCGGATAAATGAAATGTTTTCATTATCTAATTCTTAAACTAGAATTAGCTTTCCCGGTCCGAATCAGCAGTGGCTTTAGTAAAAAAAAATCTCTAAAGAACCGCTAATTGTATGCTTTTTAAGCAGCATAAACCGGGCGCTGCCAAGGATTATGGTAGTAATTAATATCTAAATGCAAATAACGACATTTTAGAAAACATATATGATCCTAAACCTAACTCTAAGCCTAACTCTATCACAACCAACCTCAACCACAAACATAAACAAACAGATATAGGCATAAATCTTTCCACTCCTCACACTTCTACGCTTAAAAAACCACATTCAGAAAAACATAGCCTCAAACTCAAACATAAACACAAACATATACCATAATCCTCACTACAACTTAAAAACATAAATACAAACATACAAGAAACATAAACATGAGCATAAGCATAACCATAAACATAAACATAAACTAACATATTCAAATACCTATACCTATAATCTATAATCTATACGTAACCTATTTCTTGAACTACCCCCCCCCCCCATCTCTCTAAAATTGATGGGTGAGTAATTGATTTGAGGTGATGTCCTACTGCAACTCGGCGAGGATAAGTACAGGTGGGAAATTGATCTTAGGAAGTAATTAATTGGGTGGGGTGCAGGGTCGTTTCATGATCTTTGTTTGGCCTAGGCACTTTTTGCATTCGTAGGCCTATCAGAAAATTGCGGCCGTGATACCCACACAAGATTGTGTAATGTTTAAACCAATAAAAATGGTGATGGTTGTATTTAATTTAAGGGAAAAAAATATCAAAACCTCTTAAATTAAAACGTCATTGTGTTTACTAATTTGTTTACTGATTTTGTAAGCCCTAAAATTTCGCCAACCACACTGAAAGTGTACTTAAGTTATCGTGTTCCTTACATAAATAGGGTTAAATGGCACTTCCGGTTATACGAAACCATTCAAACATTGATAGAGGCATGCACATACAATCGAATAATTATATATGTAAAGTTTGGTCCACTTAACGTAAATGGTAATCAAATTATGGGCTTTTGGAATACCGAAAGTACAATAATGATCAATAACGGTTTTCCGGAAATCGCTCAAAAGATGAGAGAAAAAAAAAAGCTTGCTTATGAAATTTCGTTGACATAAATAAAACGGTACTTATCCTTTTTATAGAGAGAGAGAGAGAGACACACACACACATAGGATTGTATAAAAATTATATTTTCCGTCTCCGAAAGGTTATTAAACGTCAAAATTTGTCAAGATCTCGATTTAGATTTTTGCACCATTACAATACATCCTTTGTATTTCGTTTACAAAAAAAAGTAGGAAGGTGTGAAACGAAAAATATATCAAAATTTCATTTAATTTATATAAACTATTACAACACTTCCTTTATATTTTGTTTGCCTCAGACATATTAGACGTGTTTACTTAGTATTACAGTTTTCATCATCGGCTTGTGAGGACTGATACAAATTTACAATAGTAATACTTCATAAATGTATTTTTAAACCTGAAAATGCAAATGTGTAATTAAATGGTGATTCAAGGAATTCTTTTCCAATGGCTAATGGGTTGAGAGGGTTTGGGCTTAAAAGTAGAGCTGAAAAAATTTGAGGTTAAAGAAAAATAATATTTTAAATATTATAAGCAGCCTGAATGTTATAAAAAAATTATTCCATTTTAATAACATTTCCTCTATATTTAAATATGAAAAGTAAAAACACCTAATGATGGTTATTCGACTAAAATTAAATAGAAACATTATATTGTTAAGATTATATAAAATTCCTCTTCGTTTTTTTCACAGTGTTTATTCTAAAGCAAAAATAAGGTTGTAGACTTTATTTCTAAACGTTTAAATTTTAAATCGTTTTGTAATTTATGTTGATGAATTCACAGGTCAGCTACTTAAACTCACGACTTTCAAGGCAGTTATTTTTAGCAGCCCCTAATCTCATTACTTAAATGATTAGCCAGAGGCGTAGCGACCTATTCCGGCGCCCGGGGTTGACTATCGACTTGGAGCCCCATTCTCCCAATTCTATATATAGATATTCCTGTCCGTGAAAAGCCCCCCCCCCCCCCATCCAAACCCAGTTTGAAAAATTTGTAATTAACAGTCAGTCTAAAAACGAAAATTGTTCTCTACCTAAATACTATTTTACAGCTCTACACATAGTGCAGATTCTCTAATAGGAAACCAAACGAACTGCCTACTAATTTCGTCAAAATTTAAAATAACTCATAAAAATTACGCATCCAATTAAGTCAAATTTATTGTCATGCTGCATTGTCTTCACGTCTTGACCCACGTGCCAACTACGAACCGTATTTGTCACTTAGAAGTGCCAGTAATTTCGCTTTGGCGTTTCGATCTAGATAGACTGACTACTGACGACAGAGAGAGGAAGTGAGTTAAATAAAAGTTTGTAAAAAAAATCATAAAAAACGTTTTGATAACAAGCTTTTATGTAATAATACACTAAAAACGAGAGAAATAAATTTTACACTACTATATAAATAACTATAAAGAAAAGCGTGGGTCACTTTAGCATCTGTTGGATACCTTTACTAATATTTAGGAAGAGACACACGCTTTTCTTCATAGTTCTTTAAATAGTAGTCTATAATTTCCATTCTCTTTTTTAGTGCATTATTACATAAAAGCTTATTATTGAAACGTGTTTTTATGAAAAATAGTTTAGTACTTTACATGTTTTTATTTACAATAGAGTTACATGACTAAAAAAACATTGCGCACCTATTGAACGTGATGACGCGCTATTGAACGTGATGATGCGTGTAGATTAGTTGGATAGAACTATCTACTAATTTGGTCAAAATATTAATTTTTTCATAAAAAAATTAATTAGGCATCCAATTAAGTCAAATTTAATGTCTTGTTGCATTGTTTTCATGTCTTTACCCACGTGCCAAAAACGAACCGTATCTGTCAGTTATTAGGGCCGGTAATTTTGCTCGGGCGCTTCGATCTAGACAGACTGACGACTGACGACAGACAGAGTAAGTGAATTAAAAAAAAACTTGTAAAAACAATGCCACCGCCCTACCAAATAAATAAACCTGTAATGTTGTCTCTCCTAGAAGAGTGGCTGTCCCCAGCTAGCAAGCCTCAATTTCACGAGGGTTCGAACTCGAGACTTTTTGGTTTTGGAACCATGACCATGCACACTCTTTTTTGTCTGATACAGCAGTTTCAGTTTTTAGTGTGGCTGTTTATAGCGGTTAAAATAAATTGAAAGTGTTAACAATTGTTCGTGTTTTCATATAGCTTTATATGTATCCAACACTGATTCCTACCCGACCCTCAATAAATGGATGTCAAATAATTTTTTGAAACTCGGTGGCCATCAACCCTGGGACATTCAGGGACCGTAAGTGTATTCTTCTTTAATTAATAAACTTCATTTTTAAATTTGTGTTTCAAACATTTTAATAGCAAAAATATTCTGTTTGTTTACAACTAGATGCCTTGTATACAGGGTATATAGAAAGTATTGTAATTGTGCACAAAGATCACATGAAATGTTGACAGTTTTCACCGCTTTACACCTCAGTCCTTCATCACATCCGGACTATAGAGGACTTATTCTAATTGGGCAAAACTTATAACTTCTTATGTATCAAAATTTTGGCGTTTTATGCCTAATCCAGTCGGAAAAAACTTGACTTTGCCATTCTGTCCGTATTTGTGTGTGTGTGTGTGTGTGTAAACACGATATACTTAGTACCGTTACAGCTAGGTTGATAAAATGTCATATATAAGTATTATATAAAGATCGTAGATCCATATCAACTTTTGAGTGATTTCCGATAACCGGAAGTGGAACTTTTTCTACTTTCAATTTTTCAAAAACCTAAACTGGAGTAATATTTCAGAAAGATAAATGAAATTTCACACGTAAGTGAAAGATCTAATTCTATGTCATCTGGCAAACTTTAAGTAATTTCCGTTGATTGGAAGTAGTAATTTTTTACTATTTCCGATGTCTCAAAAACCTTATGTGATTTTATAAAGTACTAATAATATTCCGCACTATTATACACATTTTTTTGCGTTTACTTGGTGCGCTATTTTTTTTTTCTACGAGATTCTATTTTTTTTTTTTAAAGTTTAAGTAATTAAAAATGGATTAAAAATCCTGTTTATATCCCCAGTTGCCATCATCTGTTGTTTTATACAAGAATATTCGAGAAAGTTTAGGGGAGATCGCTCTCGGTTTATTAATCGACACTTTTCAGCCCAAATAATGAAAAATTAAATTACGATTTTTTTAAAAGTAAACGTTACTTTGCTTAATAAAATTAACAACCTATTAAGCGGCCGCTAATGTTTGAGTAAAGAAAGTAAAATTAGATAGTGCCTTACTAGAAGTAAAGTAATATTCCCCTTCCAAACCTGACGGTATTTGGGGCAAGTGAAGTAGAGTTCGCTTGTTTCTGTAATCTCGGCATATAAAGTTAGCACTATGCGCAGCCGCCTTTACTTTCCCAAGGTAATTATCAGAGCTGGGTGGTCTCAGGGATGGTCTACTGAATTGAACCCGGATTCGAACTCGAGACTTACGGGTTAGCTCTCTACTGCCAGACCACACGGTTCTACAATCTGCCATACTAGCAGGAGCCTAAATGTTTATTTGATTTGACTTACCAGTGGCTAACATATGCAATCAAATTTCTTTATTTTCAAATGCAAACAAGCCCTAATTAGTGGCTAACATATTGAATTTTTTTTTTACTTTCTGATGCAAACAAGCCATAATTAGTGGCTAGCATATTCAATCATTTTTTTTACTTTCTGTTGCAAACAAACCATAATTAGTGGCTAACATATTCAATCCATTTTTTTTAACTTTCAGATGCAAAGCAGCCCTAACAAGGTGTGGTGGTAGATACGGACTATGCTGCAATACAAATCTAAAATGCGTGTAAATTTTTTTTTTTTGCAATTTTTTACTCAAAATACACATACACACAAATACACACACACACACATATATATATATATATATATATATATATATATATATATATATATATATATATATATATATATATATATATATATATATATATATATATGTGTGTGTGTGTGTGTGTATGTGTGTGTGGTGGGTGGGTGTGTGTGTGAGAGAGAGCGTGAGTGAGTGCATTTTAAAAACCTCTAATCTGATTGCCTTGACACTCATAAAACATCAAATGAGAGGAAAGGATAGATGGTGATCCTTCAGGGTGTAATTTCGCGCCCTGAGTCCTCGACCCGGCTTCTTGTACATGGTGGTCATGGGTGATAATTGAATGAAATCTTTCTCTTTCTCTCCCGCTCGCCATCTTTATATATATATATATATATATATATATATATATATATATATATATATATATATATATATATATATATATATGTGTGTGTGTATGTATATGTATATATATATATATATATATATATATATATATATATATATATATATATATATATATATATATATATATATATATATAATTATATATATATATATATATATATGTATATGTATATATATATATATATATATATATATATATATATATATATATATATATATATATATATATATATATATATATATAATTTATTGTATTTTTAATTTAGACGAGGCTATTGTGAGCGAGGCTAATGAATTGAAGCTTTGCCGTTCCAATAAAGCTAAACAGTGATTAGGCAGCTTTATTTTTTTTTCTTACATTCGAATTAAAACGAATTATAATACATCATAGTTTCTGTTGTTGTTTTCAGTCCATCCGTCTATCCGTCCATGCATCCATTCATCCATCAATCCATCCTTCCAAGCATCCATCAATTCAATCATCCATTCATTCATCAATACCTTTCATTAAACCCTTGTAGGTATTATGAGTGCCGACAATAATTTTTCACCGATTGTCATTCTCGTTTTTTGTTTTTTTCATTTGATAGTGTTTACTTGAAGACGAACTTAGCCGATTTTATAAGCTGCACTACGCCACCATTCTGTCACCATGTCTAACATTACTCCACCCTTTCTTCACACACGAACTCCCGACTTTGACCCAAAATTATTTGCCATAAAATCAATCCAGTAGCTTGCGATCTCTAAAATTGAGTTGTCTGCCCCTTATAACCACATAACGAAAACAACCGACTGTATAATGAATAGAGTTCAGCTTCGACGGTCCTCTGATCAAGCGATCGATTTTGATTTAATCTAGTTATCTCCTCTTTATTATTGAAATCAGTAATTAATTTTTAGATACAATTTTAATGATTAAAAATTGATATTCATGAATTTCATCCTAGATCTAATCAGAGTTTCTTCCAGGCATATTATCGGAGGAGAGATCCCTTACGAAGGAAGGAAGTCTACCGCTCCCCCCTCCCCGAACAAAATGGAATATATATAGAAAATTAAAGTTTTAACAGCGTCCGCTCCCCATCCAAGCCCTCCCACCCCCCGAAATTTTATCCCCCCCCCCCCCTTACCAAAAAAAGAAATTTCAAGACCCACCCCCTCGAAAAAAAAAAACTTCTCTAAGAAACACTGGTTCTAACACTGCCAAATTGCAGCTCCATCGGACAATGGTTATGGGTTAAATTTAGATTCCAATATTTGCTGAGCAGCACAGACACTGACAAACACACAAACACCTACACACACCAACATACTGAGCAAGCTTGTTTTATATCACGTCTATGGGCTGGGCGTCTGGCTGCTGGTTCTACTTTGTTCTACTTTGTTGCTGCTTACGTAAAACAGGTAAAGTACACGATTTATGGAACTCATTTTTGTTAACTGTCTGTCTGTTTGTCTGTCTGCCTGTCCGTCCGTCCGTCCGTCCGTCCGTCCGTCCGTCTGTCCGTCCGTCTGTCTGACTGTCTGTCTGTCTGTCTGTCTGTCTGTCTGTCTGTCTGTCTGTCTGTCTGTCTGTCTGTCTGTCTGTCTGTCTGTCTGTCTGTCTGTCTGTCTGTCTGTCTGTCTGTCTGTCTGTCTGTCTGTCTGTCTGTCTGTCTGTCTGTCTGTCTGTCTGTCTGTCTGTCTGTCTGTCTGTCTGTCTGTCTGTCTGTCTGTCTGTCTGTCTGTCTGTCTGTCTGTCTGTCTGTCTGTCTGTCTGTCTGTCTGTCTGTCTGTCTGTCTGTCTGTCTGTCTGTCTGTCTGTCTGTCTGTCTGTCTGTCTGTCTGTCTGTCTGTCTGTCTGTCTGTCTGTCTGTCTGTCTGTCTGTCTGTCTGTCTGTCTGTCTGTCTGTCTGTCTGTCTGTCTGTCTGTCCGTTTCCGCATTCGAACTTTTAGTTTGTCAACTACAAATTGTGTTTGAAATTACCAAGGTGTTTGAAAACATTTCTACGGTAAATGCTTTCTAATACCATTTATTTTAAAACCAATTATATCTAGGAGATTAAGAAAAGAATTGAAATTAAATTAAATTTTAAATTAAGTTCTAGATCGATCAGTTTAACATTGAAAAACAAACGGAGAGATAGAGAAAAATAGAGACAAACAGGTAAACAGAGAAACAGACATAAAAACAGACAAAAATACAAAGAGACACACATACAAGTAGACAAACATACAGAAAGAAAGAAAGATAGTTTGATAGATAAACAGACAGACACACGAAAAGACAGACAAACACATGGAACAACGGACAGTCGTACCGCTAAAGAAACCGACTGAAGCACTGACGGAAAGACACTGAGTCAGAAAGACGAACCTCGTCCTAAAAAATAGCACTAGCGTCACTTAACACGCACGTCTAGTTGTGAGGATTACCTTGAAATAGAGTTCTTAGCGTGGACACCTGTTGAACATTAGATCACACTGAAGGAGGTCGGTCGTGATTACAGTAAGGAAAACAGTTGACAAGATGAAATTATCTACAAGCTTATTTCTGATTTTGGTAGTCGCTTTTACCATCGGGTCTGAAGGTGAGAAATATATATATATTTTTTTTTTACCTACTACTAACGTTAGAAAATAATATTGTGATGGTGTTTGTTTTGATGGGTTTTTTTCAAAATAGATTCTACCAATTTAAAATATTGACAATAGCTCCTCAAACAGTATCTGGGATGCAGTCGGATAAATGAAATGTTTTTATTAATTTTTTTAATAATGCAATGCATAAACTAGAATTAGCTGTCCCGGTCCGATACAGCAGTGGCTTTTGTAAAAAAAAATCTGTAAAGAAACGTGAATTGTGTGTTTTTTAGCAGCATAAACCCGGAGCTTTCCGGGTTTTTAGTACTATATTAAATTTCTATTTAATATCTAAATGCAAATAACGACATTTTAGGAAACATATATGATCCTAAACCTAACTCTAAGACTAACTCTATCACAACCAACCACAACCACAAACATAAACAAACAGACATAGACATAAATCTTTTCCACTCCTCACACTTCTACGCCTAAAAAACCAGAAAAACATAACCTTAAACTCGAACATAAACACAAACATATACCATAATCCTCCCTACAACCTCAAAACATAAATAGAAACATACAAGAAACATAAACATGAGCATAAGCAATGCCATAAACATAAGATAACATATTCAAATACCTATACATATAATCTATACGTAACCTATTTCTTGAACGACCCCCCCCCCCCCCCGATCTCTCTAAAATTGATGGGTGTGTAATTGATTGGAGGTAATGTCCTACTGCAACTCTGCGGGGATAAGTACAGGTGGGAAATTGATCTTGAAAGTAATTAATGGGGTGGGGTGCAGGGTCGTTTCATTATCTTTTTATGGCCTATGCACTTTTTGCATTCGTATGCCTATCAGAAAATTGCGGCCGTAATACGTACACCAGAATGTGTAATGTTTAAACCAATAAAAATTGTGATGATTGTATTTGATTTAAGGGGGAAAAAAAATCTCAATACTTCTTAAATTGAAAACTTCATTGTGTTTACTAATTCGTTTTCTGATTTTGTAGGCCCTAAAATTTCGTCAACCATACTGAAAGTGTACTTAAGTTATCGTGTTCCTTACATAAATAGGGTAAAATACCACTTCCGGTTATACGAAACCATTCAAACATTGATAGAGACATGCACATACAGTCAAATAATTATATATGTAAAGTTTGGTCCACTTAACTATATGGTAATCAAATTATGTGCTTTTGGAAAAAAGAAAGTAGAGTAATGATCAATAGCGGTTTACCGAAAACCGCTCTAAAGATGAGAGAAAACAAAAAAGTTGATATAATGCTTGCTTATGAAATTTCGTTGACATAAATAAAACGGCACTTATCCTTTTTGTAGACACACACACACACACACACACATGATTATATACAATTATATTGTCCTTCTCCGAAAGGTTATTAAACGTCAAAATTTGTCAAGATCTCGATTCAGATTTTTGCACAATTACAATACATCCTTTGTATTCCGTTTACTAAAAAAGTAGGAAGGTGTGAAACGAAAAATATATCAAAATTTCATTTAATTTATATAAACTATTACAACACTTCCTTTATATTTTGTTTGCCTCAGACATATAAGACGTGTTTACTTAGTATTACAGTTTTTTTCATCGGCTTGTGAGGACTGATACAAATTTACAATAGTAATACTTCACAAATTTATTTTAAACCTGAAAATGCAAATGAGTAATTAAATGGTGATTCAAGGGATTCTTTTCCAATGGCTAATGGGTTGAGGGGGCTTGGGCTTTGGAGTAGAGCTGAAAAAATATGAGATTAAAGAAAAATAATATTTTAAATATTATAAGCAGCCTGAATGTTATAAAAAATTATTCCATTTTAATAAAATTTCCTCTATATTTAAATATGAAAAGTAAAAACACTAAATGATGGTTATTCGACTAAAATTAAATAGAAACATTATATTGTTAAGATTTTATAAAATGCCTCTTCGTTTTTTCACAGTGTTTATTCTAAAGCAAAAATAATTTTGTAGACTTTATTTCTAAACGTTTAAATTTTAAATCGTTTTTTAATTTATGTTTGATGAATTCACAGGTCAACTACTTAAACTCACGACTATCAAGGCAATATAATGTTTATCGACCCTTTACCTCACTACTTTTAAGTTAATAGTTATTTTTAGCAGCCCTAATCTCATTACTTAGATGTTTAGCCAGAGACGTAGCGACCTAAACCGGCGCCCGGCGTTGACTATCAACTTTGTCCCCACTCTCTCCCAATTCTATATATAGTTATTCCTGTCTGTGAAAAGGCGCCCCCACCCGCCTAAATACTATTTTACAGCTCTACATATAGTGCAGATTCTCTCCTGTAACCGAACTACTGCCTACTAATTTGGTCAAAATTTAAATCAACTTAAAAAAGCTTATTATTAAAAATCTATAATATAAGCGGGCTGTGTCTGTCCTTCCTTCCTTCCGTCCGTCCGTCATCGCTATAGATTTTGGGACTATAAAAGTAAACATTCGCACCATGCTGTGCTTTTCAGTGCACCACAGTGTCTTATTATAAGTAATAGAGTAGGGTTTGTTTATATAGCGGCATAGAGCTATTTTATAAATGCCACGGTTTTTACTCTTTCGCATAACGTCAAGAAAATATTAAATACACGCAAACTGCTAAAACGTATTAAAAAGATTAATGTCAAATATCATTTTCGTTTAGCCTATCAGAAAAAGTGGATACATTTTAATAACATAATAACAGTAGGGTAGAAAAA